GTCACTTCAGCACCAGGAAGTAGGTGGTCCAGCCGGCCAGCAGCAGCGCCCCGATGAGCACTGTGTAGCTGAGGAGCACGAAGGCGAGCAGCTCCCGCAGCAGCTGCAGCACGTGGATGGTGGACGAGGCCGGCATCGCCCTACGTGGGAGGCCTGAGGACCTGTGGGGCAAGGGGAACCCGGGAGACCCTGAGCACTCAAAGAGGACGGTCCCCTCCCTCGCCCAACCTCCACTGGACACTGAACAAGCGCTACTGAGCCAGGCACTCTTACAGGCGGTGGGGAGACAGGAGGCTAGACTAGGTCCCCGCCCTCTAAAGAGTAAACACGATTTCCTAAGGCTAGGGAAGCCCAAAGTGCTGATTTTCTTCATAACAACCATCTGGACACTATGCATTTACACTATAGAACTCTTTCAACCCAAAGTTCCCCTCGTTCTTTGGCTCTCGATCTGGATCTGAGCTGGAAAGAGAAGTCAGACTGTTCCCAGCCCTCGCTGCTGCACTGGTCTTCATCCTCGGCCCTCTCCTCCCACCCACCTCCTGCATTTTTAATGTTGTGAGTGCTACTAATGGGCTAGTGGAATCAAGCTTTCTTTTGCCATCACTCAAGCTGCGGCCCCGGCTGTCAGTGCTGCTTGGGAGGGGAAGGGAAGAGAGATCCATTTGGGTAAGGGGAAGGCAGCAGGCCCTCATTGCAGCCCTTCTGCAATTCCTCTGGCCCCAAGGCTTATCAGCTCACAAGAGTTTGAGGATCTCTGCTTTGTGGTTCGGCGTGCTTGCCCTTCTGGCCAGCCGGGATCACAGGAGTGCCAAGAGGTGGGTATCAACTTGGTTCTGGGCTCATCTCCTTCCCCACTGTGCTCTTGTGCATCCTCCAGCACAGATGCACCAGGTGCTAACAATCACAGACCAGTTTTTCATCTCCACTGCTGCCCTGCCCAGCAGCTGCCCTCAGTGCCAGCCACCAGCTTCCCTCTCTCCCCATTTCACTCACTCAGCAAGGTTTCCAGGACTCCTCCACTGTGGCAGCTCCGTGGTCCCTTTCCCGTCTGGCTTCTGAAGGTAGGCTTGTGTGCGCCCCAGCGATGGCGGCAGAGCTGAGAGATTTTCAGGCAGCAGCTGCACTCACCAACTAGGTGTGGTCTAGAGACCAATCACATCTCCACGTGGTCCCTGAGCTCTCCAGAAGCTGCGCACAGGCAATCCCAGGCCAGGCGGGGCATTGGCAACCCTGCCCGCCCGCCCTCTGCCTCTGTCACTACCACAGCTCACAGAGCTCTGAGGTTCCCTGCAAAGCTCCTGACTTAGATGGGCTGAGCAAGTGGTACCCCAGAGGGTCTTTCATGATCCCCTTGTCTTGCTTTTCTAAACAATGCAGGTGGGAAATAGTCCAAAATCTCTTCTAACTCACACTGAGATCAGTTCCATCCTACTCTTGAGTCTCAGAAAAGAACCACTGTACAAACAACATTCGCTTACGACTGTCCCACTAAAGCAAAAGCTCTTGCCTTAAAAAAAAAATGCAAGTCTGAGCATTCGTGTGTGTGAGAACCCAGAGCTCAGAGAACCAAGAGCTCCGAAGTGCTCGATTCTAATTTACAGAGGTTAGCAATTTAGACTCCCTATGTGGTCACCTTCCCAATGTGCCCACTTCCAGTTTCAGCTCCTCCAAATGTGAGGCAAAAAAGAGCCAGTCGGGATTTCAGGCAGTAAAGAACAGACCCTTTCCCAAATATAACGATGAAGGGAAAAGAAAGCACAAACTTTATGCTGCTTCTGCTGCTTTTGCTTTTTGTAGTAGTTTGTAGTTAGACTATGTTTTGACCTTTAAAAATGCAGGCAGTGTGGACATCAACCCTTTTATCACCATCATCATCCAGAAGCAAATGGCTTTTTAATTTGATCAGGATCTCTTATTATCAAATCATTGCCCCGCTGCAGCCAGGCTGAAAACAGGAGCAGAACATTATCAAGCTGCACAGGAAGCCAGTGAGTTAGTAATTGCTCCCCCGGAGAACTGGTCATCTGGAGGGCTCTGTGTCCTGCCGGGTCACAGGGAAGGAAGGATGGCTGAGATTTATACCCTCACCCGAAACCAAAGTAATGGATGAAAAAGGCTATTAAATAGGCCTGATTTTGTTCCCTTTTAACTCTCATGTCCTTAAAGGGATATCTCAAGGCAGTTATGTGTTCTAGTCTTTGCAGCCTTTGAGGTATTGAAACAGCAAGAGAGCAACTGAAGTTGAGAAACAATTATGTAGCTTGGAGTTCATATGCATTCATTTAGAAAAGAATCTTGAGAAATTTTACATTACTGCCTGTTTTTTTTTTGACTGATGAATGACAAAAAGGCATTCTCTATTTTCTATAGTATGTCCTCATTAAACCATATGACCGATAACTCACAGCCTGTTCACAATTCATGGTCTGTGTGACGCCTGTATTTACACACCTTAACGTCCTTATCACAGCCCCTCTTCCTGTCTGCTTTAGATACTCAGTTTCTTCTGTTGTTTTTTTTTAAAGTACTTCTTGAATTCAACTCTGCTTAATATGAACACTTCCTCCTGGTGACAGGCCAGTCTTTAACGTACAAGTGAGAAGAAGAGAGAAACTGGCATGTCATGATTAACCATAATCCACTTCCGGGGAGGGCAGAGCGACAGTGGACCATCACATGGAGATCCTCCCTTCCCAGTTCTCTTCAAGAATTACAGGTGCTGTTTTTAATCCTCCTCCTCCTCTTAACCAATACTTTCATTTTACAGTTAAACTACAGTTCAAATAGTTATTCCTCTGTTGGCTAAAATTCAAGTGTGCAGTAAGACACAAAACAGTGCCTACACAGACTTCTTTATCTATGCAGATTTCTTTTTTGTGGGACAGCTGGTGTGGCAGAACTGTCTACCCAACTAGACAAAAGTCCAGACATGATGTAAACAATCCACCCTCTCCAGGAATAAATGTACCATTCACATACCCTTTTTCTCAGTAAGGGCATACTCCTTTGAGACAAAGGCTGCTTCAAGTATTAAATGAACTTACACAAAGGCGTGTAATATATAATTATCCACCTTTCTATTTGCATACAAATGAAGCAATTGATGTTTTGAAGTCTGCTCCTGAATGTGTTTTTAGGAGCTGACCTAACTATGCTTGGAGCAAGCAAGTATAGAGTCCCGAGTTGAATGCAGACACACAAGACACCACTGAGTGTCTGTTCACAGGACAAAATGCCAGCCAAGCAGACCTGACTGAACTTGAATTGAATCCCTTGAGCTAAAAACACTGAGGGACAAGGTGGATTTCATTATCTAAAGCAGCCGAGGCTGACAACCGCTGGGGCCAGAAGGTATAAACTAATCTCCCTGGGATAACAAGGATTTGAAAAAGGATTGTAAAAACAGGAATGTCTTTAAGACCTTTCCAAATACTGAATGTCAAATCCACGAGAAGCTAATCTTTTAAATATTCCCGCTTCTACCCCTCATTCTTTTATTAAAGAGATTCTTGGTAAAAAATACGCAATTTCTCCTTCACTCATATAACACACCGTGTGCTAACAGAATTCCACTAATGAAAAAAAGTGGGGGAAACAGGTATGGGTACTAATTAACAATAGAAATGACACCTGCGGAGGGACACCAGCCCTGGGCAAAGAGGGCGAGCAGCTAATTGTGTGGAGACTTGGGCAAGGGCTGTGAAACCATCGATTTGGTCCCCTTCTTGGCCTCCACTCCTCCAGATGCCGGGGTGGAGCAGGAGGGAGACTTCCAACTTGCCACCAGCACTCACGCTCCTCTGTCCCACAGCCTGGCCGTCCCCGGCAGGGAGGGGCAGCTCCGGCTCCTGGAGGAGGATGAGGTCACCAGACCAGGGGCTGAGACGGAGCTGGGTGTTTTCAAGCAAAACGAACGTGAGAGGCCGAGTATGGAGAGGCCGCGGACGGCTGGGGAAGCAGCAGGGAGAGGGAGCTGCAAGATGCTGAGGAGGCCAAGGTGCTGGCTGGTGGGGCCCACGATGGGCAGTGAAGAAAACCGCCGGCCTCTACCACTGAAATGTCTTGGAGTTAATACCACGTGCACTAAGAAAGTGTCTTTGAATGGTTACATTCTCAGGAAGCCGCTTCCTAACTATTACGCTCCTCAGTGTGAAAAGCCCTTGCTCAGTATGGGACCCACACTGACGTGGCGGTGGATCAGAGAGATCATAAACTTTGTTCTGGGGAAAGAAGCTCCCCCAAACCTCCTACTTAATAGAAACAAGAATTGAAAACGGAAGGCACCACAACTTGCCTTAATAACTAGATAAGACAGAGACTGGTGACACTGAGGGTACAAGCTCTGCAGAAGAGGAAATCTCACCTCCGTGATTGCAGCAGCTCTAGGCCCCAGCACTTAACCGCTGCCCTGGGCATGACGTGCTTTCAAGAAATTCAGCACTATTTATTAGAGGTTGGACTTTCCCCTTTTATTTTCATTTTTACCTACTTGGTCCCTGCTTTCTTAAGAACTACCCCATCTGTGCAGCTGTACAGATTACCCATCCCCAACATCCTTAAATATTTCCAGAGGTCCCTAATGAAGATTTTCAGAGCGTTAAAAACTGGTATTTCTTTTACCCAGGTGGATTCTCTTCCATTCTTCTTTAAGAAATTAGGGACACAAAAGAGAAGCAGAAAGGAGAAAACAGCATAATTTAAGAAGCTGACCCCAACGGCAATTCTGCATTCTGGTGTTATTCCTTTACGGGGCTGTACTTCCTTCCAGCAGCTTCTTCAAAGGAGCAGTTTATTCCGCAGTTCCCTTGTCAGTCTACTTTGAACGCCCTAGAAAGGTTTTTCCATGAGCGACTCTATCCAGCTGGCCCCGTTCATCAGTTTAGTGGTGGCAATTACATACTCGGTACCTCCATCTTCCAACTGGGAAAGGAACCGCAGGGCAGCAATTTCAGCAAAGGTCACACCCCCGAGGAAAAATATCAGAGTGACTCGGTTTTCTCCTGGCTGACCTAAAATTCAAACATTGCAGAACTAAGAATTATTTATTACTAATGCATCTTATCCTACCTCTTAAAAAAAAACTGCACTGTTCATAAGGAAAAAAGTCATACATGTCTCAGTACAGACCAGTCATCTGACACTCAGGAACATGATTTTGACCTCAGGGTTTTTTCTAACTTCTCAGATCATCAGTTCAGATGCTGAAAGCTACTGACAAGAGAAGTCTATCAGACTCTGACTCCTAAGTACTTTACAAACGTATTTTACAAAGCAGTTGCACAATACGCAAAAACCACACTAGCAATACGAGATTATCTGTGGATACCGGCCACGGACTTACGTTTCTTCTGCAGTCCCGTGGGCAGTGGCTGCCGCTCCTCGAAGTGGGGCCCCGGGAGGATGCGGAGAACTTCCTCGATGCTCCGCCAGCCGGGCCGGGAGAGCAGCTGGGCCAGCCGCACACTGAGCGGGGCATAGCCACTGTACACGTAGGATATGTCTGTGGGATTCTGTTAAGTAATCAGAGGGAAAAAGCCTGTAGAGAGAGACACAGAGTAGCTACCTGTGGCTTTGGGGGTAATCCAGAAACACTTGCTTTGGCTTTGAAGGCAGAAACACAAACGAACCCCCAAATATCCTGCTCCAATCCACCCCTGCTGGGCTCTGTTCTTAGCAGCCAGGGGTTCATTTTTGACTCAAAGCTTGAAAAGCCATTCAAGGCATCTCTAGGTACCAAAGATGAAAAATTATTACTTGGTTTGGCAAGAAAGTTCTTGGAGGGTAAAGTGGCACTCTCTAGCTGAGAATTACGACCTGGAACCCAGCAATTCTACTTTTAAGCATTTATCACACAGAGGGGCCCTTATGCACTCCAGGGGAGAAAAGACCAAAGCACAAACGTATTACTGCAACACTGTGTACCAGCAAAAGACAGAAAACGACCTGAATTTCTATCATTAAAAATCGGTCAAATCAGGGGGAGGGTACAGCTCAGTGGCGGAGTGTGTGCCTAGCATGCATGAGGTCCTGGGTTCAATCCCACTACCTCCACTAAAGATAAATAAGTAAAAACTTAATTATCTACCCCACCCCCCCAAAATGAAATCTGTCAAATCATAAAATAAGGTATATCAGCAAAACCATTATGCAGCACCTGAAAAAAAAAAGTATGTATCTGTATAACTGAATCGCTTTGCTGTACACCTGAAACTAACATTGTAAATCGACGACACTTCAATAAAAAAGAATTTTAAAAAAAAGTCAACAATCAAGTGGAAAAAAAATCCTCTTGGACTTTTACTAGGATTGCACTGAATTTATAGATTAACTTGAAGAATAGTTAAAATCAAAGTACTAGTTATTTTTATCCAAAAAACCCATTATGTAGCAATTAAAAGGAACTTAAGATTGGGGTGGGTCACAGAAGGCTCTTCAAGGTAAGCAGTGGGCGGGGTGGGGAGAAGCTGGTCCGCACAGTGATGAGAGCAGAACTCATATATTATTTACATTGTACAACACAGGAATTGAGGCAATCGATAGTCCCACTGGGGAAAATAATCCAATTTTTCTATTGAGAGAGGAGACTTTAATTATTAGCTTTTGTGGCAAGAGGCAGCCTAACAAAGTCCCTTATGAAAAAGATACTAACTACTACATATAAAATAGATAAACAGCAAGTTTCTTCTGTATAGCACAGGGAACTATATTCAGTTTTTTGCAGTAACCTATGCTGGAAAAGACTATGAAAAGGAATATATGTATGTGTATGTATGACTGAAACATTATGCTGTTCACCAGAAATTGACACAACATTGTAAACTTCAATTAGAAAAAAAATCATTAAAAAAAGAAAGAAAAACCAAAAAAGAAAATAAGAAAATACGAAAAATGAAATTTTGAAAGACCAGAATAAACAATAAATATAAAGCAAAGAGCATGCTACTTTGGAGACCAATAGTTTAGAATATGCACCATTTGTGTAAAAGTGTTAGTCTAGACGTAGAACCCTTCTGGAAGGACCAGATTAAAAACTGGTTACAGTGGCTGAGGGGAAATTGGAGTTGGATGTGGAGGGAATTGGATTTTTCACTCCTAGCTTTACTTTTGTTCTGGATCCTTTCCAGATCCTCTGCACCCTGCCCCCGTGCTCCATGCCCAGGAGGCGGACCTATGGGCCCCGCACCCACATGCTCCTCCATGGCAACTGGAGCGTGGATGGCAGGGTGTGGCCGGGGTCTCAATGCCCTGACTTCCTCTCTGTGACGCTGCTGGAGGCTGGCTGTGTCCCTCGTCTGGGCAGCTCTGCACATAGCTTTTCTCTCCAGGTTCTGGAACAGATCTCTAGAACAGCTCCCTGTCCCTGCCCTCAGGCCTAGGCTGGTAAGGGATGCCCCCTGCACTACCCCACACTGGTCCACCCCACATCTTTATAAAACTCTCCTCAAACCTCCACTGTGAGAGCACCCTCTGCTTCCTGCTGGGATTCTAACAGACCCAACCCACAAATGAATGACTTTCCCAGAAACATTAGGAGACCATCTTTAGAAAGCAAGGTGGGTGTACAGATCAAGCAGCAAACGTCATCACAATCAAGCATTAACTGGTAACGGAACTGAGATGAAGAAGAGGAGGGGCATCTTACTTGTTCATTTACATCATCCATCCAGAGGCGTAAGGTTTTCCGGATGGTTGGGTAGTTGTTTCGGCCCCCGGTCTGTGGTTTCAGCAGGCCCGCCTTCTCCAGGTTGTGTAAGGTCAGTATGTGCTCATAGCCATAAGTCTGCAAGAGAAGTCGTTTGGCCTTGATGTCAAATCAGGAAAAAGGTTTCTGCGACTTTCAGAAAAAGAGCACTGGCGACAGATCAATCAGGTTCTTACTTTGGGGCACGTTACTGAAGTCCAGGCAACAACTGTCCAAGGGCACAAGGCTGGGCAGCGAGGAAGCCCACCCTACAACTGCGGGCAAGTTACAATGAGTCCGGCTCACTGTCTCAAAGAATAATGTAAGGTTTTTACTTTAAAGCAAAAGCAATTACTTTTGCTACGACATATGCAACTTTTTACTTTAAAGTAAACTTTTACTTGAAAGAATTTATGGGGGGGAGGGTATAGCTCAAGTGGCAGAGTGCATGCTTAGCATGCACAAGGTCCTGGGTTCAATCCCCAGTACCTCCTCCAAAAATAAATAAACCTAATTACCTCCCCCTCCTGCCAAAATAAAAAATAATTAAGTAATGCAATAATAAATAAATACAATATTTTAAAAAAGAATTTATGGACCCAACTTAAGCATCAAATAAATTATAGTATATTTTTCTATGGGATATAATTAGCTATTTAAAAAAAGAACGAGGCAGTATATACATCCTGATAAGAAAGATCTGGATTTATTCTCGAAGGACAGGAAAATATAATAATAGAATACTGTGTACAGTAGGATTTTATTTCTGTTAAAAATAAGCTGTAGTAATAAGAGTAGTAGCCAACACAAAACACTTCCTATGTGGGGGGCACTGTTCAAAGTGCTTTATAAACGTTAACTCAGTCGTTCTTATAACCCCCCTCAAGGTAGATATTATTATTACCTCCATTTTACAGAGAAGTTTAAATAACTTGCCCAAGGTCACACAGCTAATAAGTAACACAGCTGGGTCTTGGGGTTGGTGTCGCCCCACGGTCTGTGTTTGTAAACATTCTCTGTACTTAAGCGCAAAGGGAACCTGGAACCACACAAACTGAACTGCCGGCGTTGGTCCCATCGCGGAAGGGAAACGGGTCGGGGTGGGAGGGAGGCAGGGAGGTTCACATTTTGCACTGTGTACTTCTGCTTTATTTGAATGTTACATGATGAAAATGCACGTGCAGTTTGGGTAATGTTTAAAAAGGCTAAGAAAAAAACGTGAATGAGTATTTCATTTTCACAATAACGTTATTTAATGGTCACTAGTAATAGCAAATAAATAGTGGCCAAGACATTTTTAAACAAAGAGGAGGATTTCAAAAACCATAGTGGACTTTTCCTTATTATAAAGTAGCAGAGGCTTCATTTCAGTAAGTCTGCTAAGGAACTGATACCAGAAATTTGCGAAAGTTCCCTTCCTCCATCGAACAGTCTGGAGCAAGGGCACGGGCTTCAGCGCTGGCTCTGCCCCTTCCTAGCTGGGTGACCCTGGACAAGTTACGCACTACTCTGTGCCTTGGTTTTATCATCTATAAAATGGGAGTGGTAACAGTATCTAACTCAGAGCACTATCGTGAGGATTTAAACAAATGAATACATATATAAAGCTTTCCAACTGAGCCTGGTACAGAGTGAATACTCTAGAAACATTTACTGTTGTTATTATGCAAACACAATAAACAATGATCGATACCAAGGACAACCCCTTCAGATAGCAAAACATTTAAAAGACAGTGTAAACAATATACCAAAATAGCAGTTTTTTAAAAAGATGTTTTCTCCCCGGTAAGTTAGTAATTTACAAAAATAAACTGACCTGCAGGATTTCTCTTTTGTAATAATCCAAAACTTTTTGTCTGAGCCCACTATTGCACACGGACTGGAGGCAAACTAGTCTTAACACCTTGATCAGCGGGTGCTTCTGGGCAATACAATCCTCGATGTAACTGTTGACCTGGAAACCAAGGACACACAGGTGCCAGCGATCGGTTTGGGGACCTAGAGAACTTGGTATTTACAAATAGTTTTCAAAGTCAAATAAAGGAGATGTGTGGGAGAACAGCTCACTCTTTTTTCACTTTCCCTAAACCCTCTCCAAGGTAGCTCCTCCAGCCCCCGCCACCACGCAAACACACCAGTGACTGGGAGGACAAGCTCGGGAAATCCTAAGGCCTGTCTGGACTCTTCTGTCCCTACAGACAACCTCCTGAGAGGCTGCTGCCTGTCTGGGGTGTGTGACCCAGTCTACTTTAATAACAGCAGGAATTTATCAGCATAAAGTAGCAGGAATCTTTTTAGGAGATGGGACTTTTCATAAATTGAATAGCTTTAAATTTAGTCATAGAGGTGGCTACCTAAAGGAACTATACAACAACTCCCTGAGAAAGCATATCTATTGATTTATCTATGACAGCCCTTAAAAATCTCTGATTTTAGGGGCTGGGTCTCACCTCTCCGTGCACTGCAGAACGTCATCTTAAATATTTGATACTTGATAAAAATCTCTATTTATACATTTTGCATTTGCCCTTAAAAATATGTAGGCAAGGCCTGGGAATCAAAGCAATTGCTCTTCTTGCTGTAATCTTACGTTTGATAAGATATCAATTATTTGTTAGAACAGTTTTATTGTTCACGTACCTTATCAGTGTCTATTCCAGACATAAACTCCTGCTCCACTGTTAGTTTATCAAAGAAGTCTTCAGAAGCTAAAATGGAATTGGCAAATTTGTAACTAAGAAATTAAATGTTAATGCTTTTATACACTGAGCATGGTTAAGAAACAAGACCCAAAAAAAAAGAAAGTAAATGAAGTTCAAATTGTCACTTGAAAAGAATCTTCTTAGAAACATGGAAAATGCTACAACCCTGGATTCCTAAATTATATTTAGAGATAGCTGACCACTGGACCCCTCTGCCGCCCTTAGGACTCACGTAAGATCTAAAGAATTTTCCCTCAGTATCAGTGAAAGCTAATTTCCCAAGAGCATTTCACTTTTATCATCAGAGCCAACCCAGTTTCACCTGATTTCCACTTCTATTAACATGCTGATCGCCCACTGTGGGTCGGGTGCCCCTAAGGAAACACAACTGTTACCCAGATTTGGGTGACATGGCAATCCACACGTTAATATGAAAACAAAGCACTGATTTCCCAATAGTGTTTTATTTAAGATTCAAAGTATACTTTATCAAACAAGGCATTGAACAGTCTCCTCCTCGGCTTCTACAGCCTCTGTTTTAATGAATAAGCTTATCTTCGTTGTAATATACGTCTTCCAAATCCTTAACATGTGCCCTCTACCAATCTGCACACAGTCTTCAAGGGAAAAACAAAAATGAAAACAGAAACATTACGCTGTTCTAATTAGGTAATCCTTAACAACAGGGGAAAAAAAACAGACTGAAAAAATTAACTGCCTTGTTATGAAAGCAAATTTATGGAAGAACTGTTTTCTCTCTTTGATAGTCCAAATATTTTGTCATATGATTATTCTAATAATGAAAAAAAGACTGAGTCAACCACAAATAGAAAGTTTTTAACTATAAACATGTGTCCTTAATTAACACTGAGAATCGCAGCATTAAATCAGAGCTGACCTTCCCAAGGAAGCACGGTGGTGCCAACGACCGAGGGGTCTAACGATGTGTGTGCAAGCCAGCCCCGCTGAGCGCGCCCACTCCCAGCGATACTCACTAGTGACATCTTTGATTAACTCTGCAATCGACGTGTGGTTGGCGAGTGAGCCTCTCGCTGCCTGCATGTGGGGCAGCTGCGAAACGAACTGCTTGATTTCCCCAACTGTCTTGGCGTTGTGCCTTTCCTAAAATGTAAAACGGCAGAACCATCGCGCGGGGAAGGTATTTTATTTTTAAGTGCTCTGTTTCTGTATTGCTTAGAGGACATTTAATTTACGTTAATTCGAAAGAAAGAAGGGAATACAAATAAATCAGGCCAAACGGACCTCCAACATTAGATAGAAAAGCAGAAAAGATAAGCTCATTGTGCCTGATAACTGCATTAGTACTTCTTTAGGGAGCAAATGTCCCAGGTTCTGTCTTCCTAGGTGCCAGGGCATATGTATTGTGATTAGCATTTGTGAGGTCAGTGCTAGGTTATTAACAAACATTTCTGAGTTAAAAACTGAAACGGGTCGGGGGGGAAGGTATAGCTCACTGGTAGAGCATGTGCTCCGCATGCACAAGGCCCTGGGTTCAATCCCCAGTGCCTCCATTAATAAATAAATAAATAAGCCTAATTACCTACACCCTTACCAAAAAAAGAATTTTTTAAAAATGTGGAAAATCAGTAAGATAGCTCAAAAACAAGTTTAAAAAAATGAAAATGAAAACATTATGTTAAGAGGGGACGCTAAACAAGTTTCCTCCATAACAGAAAAAAATCCATTCTTACTGCTGAACCTCAGACTTGAATACTGTCCATGAATAAAGTGACTCTTGCCCAGCAATGAGAAAAACTTTTTGGCAAAAGTTAGTAATTTAAGACAAAAATAACATCAGAAACTTGAAGAAAGTCAATTAATGAATATAATTCCCAGGAAAGATGAAACCTGGAAATACATACTCAATAGAAAAATCAGTCTTCAAAAATTCTCCCAACTTATGTTTCCAAAGACTAAATATGCAGAGTTCACCATCTTACTGAATTCCCATGTTTCAAAAATGAGCCTAACCAAGAATAAACCAGTGGCCGGGCAAGTGGAGGCAGGAAGGTGATAATGGTGCCGCCAGTTTAAAAGCTTGGGGCTGCTGGGACTTCACTGTCATTATCACCTACCGCGGGCATGCTGGCTAACCCGGGAGCTTTCGGTCCAAACAGCCAGTTCCATTATAGAGGGTCTGTTATTTATAGTACAGCTGGCTTCCTCTTAAGTTGAGATAGGAAATAATTAAAAAGAATGTAAAACAAATGTTTATGGTGAAAGTTTGTAAACAGCAAACACTACCCCTTCCTCCTGCAAAAGGAGAAAAACTTAACACCTTTCTCATGGGTCTGGGAAAGAGTTTTAAAGGAAAAACTTGGGTCCTCCAGTGGCTGAGTCTGCAGTCTTCTTGGGATGAGAACTGCAGCCCCACTTAGTGGCTGCATCTTTTGGCAGCTCTTCCTGCCACGCTGGGTGGGGTGGGCGGTCCAGCCCGTGACCTACAGAAGCGGGATGCCGACCAAACCATCTCACCTCAAAGGCCGCAGAGATCACCTTGGCTTTCTTGCTAAGCACGGAGCCCACTGCATTGAAGTTTTTATCTCGGATCTCAGCATACAGCTCCTCCGCAGAATTCAGCTGAAGCTTCTTTGCTTCCGTGGGAAGATCCTTAGCACCATCGCCCTGCTTCTTAGGTGCGAATTTCTCTGGAGGTAACTTCACGTAACCTGAACAACCGGGGAGGGGAACATGCCTCTGTGCGCATTTACTGGAAGAACCAATTAAGTGCCAGGCACAAAACAGCATTTTCCAACTGAGGAGAGTAGGGAAGCCGGCTTCAGGAAAAAATGGCCTTCCGCACTGAGGGTTCAATTTTCCCACGATCCAAGTACAGGCAGGATGCAGTGACTCTTTACTATTAATATCATGGTTCTACTTTTCTTTGGTGGCACCTATGCAAATCACTGCACCAATGGCCAGTTCCTAAACTTATTCACAGATTAGACCACCTTTTCAAAAAATTTACAAGGATCTCCCCATTATCTTCCGGTGTTTTTCAAACCAGGTCGTGTCCCATTAGTGGATCATAAAATCAAGTTGGCGGGTTGCAGTTAGCATTAAAAATAAATAACTAACTAAAACAGCAACTAAAACATTAAATACTACAGTGCATCACATGGAGTAGGGAAAGTTTTTGTTTTTAAATAAAATTTTGCATCAGTTTCACACACACATATAATACGTGTGTATATACTGGATCATGATTTGAATATACTTATTATGGGTTATTGTCCAAAATAGTTTGAAAGCTATCACCTGAAGGCCAATTTGAGCCCACTTCCCATTTTTGTAAAGTTTCATTGGCACAAAGCCACCCCTATTCTTTACATCTCATCTGGGCTGCCATCACATGACAATGCGGAAGTGAGATTCCACAGAGGCACTGCAGGACCTAAAATATTTCCTATCTGGCTCTTTACAGAAGTTGCCCACCCCGCTGGAGAATAAGCTGCCAAGTCTCTCAGCAAGGTATCCAGCTCCTCCAATAAGTAGCCTTAACCCTCTTCTCCCACCTCTGTTCCTGCCAAACCAATTTAGTTACCATTTCGGGAACACCCCACATGCCCTCATGACCCGCCTGTGGCACATGAGCTGGTTTAATTCTAAGAAGTTTGGCAATATGAACCAAGGGCCTTATAATGTTAACACCTTTTGACCAAAAAATCCTGCATCAGAGAATGCAGAAAAAGAAAGTAATATGGTATACAAAAAAATTTTTATGTATACAGATGCTTTTATTACCATAAAACCCCCAAACAACCTAAAATGCCAGCCCCGGTGTGACCCACCGAGCGGTTTGCTCAGAGGTCACTTAATCTTAGCATCTGCAGGTCAAAGGTCAGCATTATAAATTTTTTTTTCCCAAATATTCTCTGATTTATTTGGAAAGGAAGAGCCTTCTTTTAAAAAACAAACAAATGGCCTTTTGGGTATTTTTATCAGATTTCCTATTAGTAAAAGTAGATGTCATTTTACTCACTGTTCTGAATGCCATAAATTTCATCAATGAGTCCCTCATACGTCAGCTGAGTGGCAAGAGGCGTTAACAAATCCACGTTCCGATCGAGCAACAAGAGGTTATCAAAGACGGGAAATATTGAGTTTTGGCTTCCTGTGAACTCTCTCTTCATCCTGATCATCATATTGGCCACTTGCTGGAAACAAAACATTGGATCAGGTTGGGCTGTCCTGGGAATGAGCAGGACATTTAAAAATTCGAATGAAAAATGGAAAGACAATCAAAAAAGTAAAAAAGGGGAGAAAAACCGTGGAAGGTGAGACTGATAAGAAATACAGAAAAGCATTCACTGTTGGCTGCCGTTCTAACACTTAAAACTTTAGCCAACAGGAGCCACTACTTCTCAACGAGGCATAAAACCAGATAGTCTTGTTTTGTTATTCTCAGTGGTCCTGGACTATAAAGTCACCGTGACAGCGATACTGAACCACTGCTCCGAGGGGCAGTGCAGGGTTAGGGTCCCACAGGCCTCTGGTTATAACACTTTCATCATCTGATCAATATATATCACAACCTTGTTTAATGTGTGTATCTGTTTAAAGACACACTGTTGATTCACTATCACTCACGCCTGAACGAAGCTCATCTAACGCATGTGGTTTCTCCCTTAGGCACATCACAAACCTTCCTGCGCTCCGAACACGAGACACTGCTTCGGTAACACCCTTGGGGGCCACTTTGAAAACAGCAAAATCATCAACAAAAAAAGCACAAAAACACACACACAAAAAAAGGTGGCACTGAGTAGTGCACGGCACTATGTAGTGGCAAAAAGGACGCCTGTGTACGGTATGAGCTGAAGCAAGAAAGCATGGGGTGGCTCCATCTGATCTCAGCTGGGAACATGCACACTGGACAAGTCAACTCACTGCCGCTCTGGGCATGTCCGCAAAGCATTGTGAATATCGATTCTGGGGCTATAGATCAATATTAGCAAGCAGGTGAATCCCCCCCCCGAAAAAGAGTTGACTGTGTTTGTAAACAGTTTCCCCCCTTTCTGCGTCCCGGGGGGCCTTCCTTCCCCACCAGAACCGTCTTGCCGCTTCTCACCCGGGCGCACTCTCCTTTCCCAAAGATCTGGGGGATCGTGCCGTACAGAGCTTGCAGGGTCATCAGCCCCTTGGCTGCGTGGTATAGGCTGGTCTGGTCACTCTCCAGGTAGCACTCCTGCGGGCAGGGAGGAAGGGCCGGTTACGGTCAGGCACGGTCAGCCGGGTGCCCCGGGGGGCCCGGGTTTGTCTGGCGCTGGGATCCGGTGGTCATTGGGTAAGACCTTCTCCACTGACTCCCCACTTTGCTGGGGAAGCTGGGGACTTGAGCCCATTTCACAAAGCTGCTGTTTGGCAGCCCAGGCTGTGAGGCTGACAGCTCTGCCATCGGGGTGCAGCTAGGGAAGCTACTCCCCCAGGGCACAGCCTTCTGGAAGAAGAGCGTTCCTCTTAGTTTTTCAGCTCTTGAATAAACTACAAATGGGTTCTCTCAGTCTGGTAGGACACTGTGGGAGGGCCACACGCTAACACTCGTAAAATGCACATATTCTTTGACCCCTTAAATACCAGATGACCCCACAGCAGAATACTTGGCAGTGTTCACAAAGAACATGAGCAGATTTCCAGATACACAAATGAAGGCCATAACATCTTGAGAAATGAAAAGGGGCAGCTGAACGATCTTTAGAGTGTGATCTCATTTTCAGAAAATAAATTTTATAAAGGATATAAAATTATGCTTTTTTGCATAGGAAAAAAATGCTAAAAAAATACATACAAAACCAGGTGGAAGTGAGAGGAGAGACTCAGTTCTGTTTTCTGTTTTTTGTTTTTTAACATTTTTTATTGATTTATGAAGAGACTCAGTTTTGAAGCTGGTAAGTGAGAGCACAGGCTCCAGGCTGTCTTGATCTGAACCCCGGCTGTGTTACTTCCCAGCTGGCACCCTCGGCCAGTTAGATGACCTCTCATGCCTTAATTTATTCTTCTGCAGAAGGGAGTATATTTGACACAGTGTAAGGATTAAATGAGAAAAACACATGTAAAATATTTCATCCCAGCACCTGAAACATACAGTAAGTGCTTGATAAATGTTAGCTTTTATTACTGGAAATAGTTTGGTTTTTTTTTACAATCATCATCCACTCATACGTTAAAATTGGAACACTGTACCAGACACCCCTCACCCACCCTCCCAGTGTGTCTCTAGCCTCCAAAGCCAGGTGGGAGGGGACACTGGCCGGATGAAGGAAGAGAGGGTGGAGCTCTCATACACTCTGCCCCAAGGACAGGAGGGCTGTCCCTGCAAAGATCCTGCGCTTGGTCTTTACTGAAAGTCTGTCCAGTGGCTCTTCCAAGTCTAGTGATTTTAACATTTCAGACTGTGACACATCAAAACCAAGAACGTCCAAAGACACACTTTCTTGAAAAATTACTTAAAACTCCCGACTGGAGCAGAGCTGAGATAAAAACTCAAGAAAAAAAATTAGGGAACATCTCTCAAAATAATATTCTTTTTTTTAATTTAAAAAGTTTTAAAAGACAAAGGCATTCCTTTTATAATTCCATCTTTTATAAAAAGACTTAAAAGGTGATGACAGATGTTAATCTTGCATTTCTGCTCTAACATGGGGTGGCAGTGGGGTGATTATTTGTACTAATAGCCCCCTACTCTTCACCTGTGGAATTTCACACGGTATTTCAAGCCATGAAGCCATGAGGACATTTTTGGAGGGAGTGATGGCTAATGGGCAGGGGGTTTCTTTTTGAGATAAAAATGTTCCAAAATTAGACACTGGTGACAGTTACACAACTCCGTGAATATACTGAAAACCACTGAATTACACACCTTAAAAGAGTGAATTTTATGGTATGTAAATTATGTCTCAATAAAGCCATTATTTAAAAAATTAACTACTTTATAATTGGAAATGTCTACATGATAAAAGACATTAAAATTAAAGTTAATAGGGAAGCCACAGCCTGGGAGAAGATATTTGCAGCTTTTATCATACACAATGATTAGTATTCAGAATATATAAAGAATTCCTCAAAAAAGAAAAAATGGGCAAAGAAAATGAACAAGTAATCTGCTAAAGAGAAAAATCTTAAATACCAATAAACATATGAAAAGAGGCTCAGCTTCACAGTAATCATGAAAATGCAAATTAAAACAATACTGTTACCAGAAATCGACACAACACACTGTAAACTGACTATACTTCAATAAAAAAGAATGCACAAAAATATTGTTGATGCTCTTGGATTGGAAGAATCAACATTATTAAAATATCTGTACTACCCAAAACATCTACAGAGTCAGTGCAACCCCTATCAAAATACTCAGGATATTTTTCAAAGAACTAGAACAGATAATCCTAACATTTACATGGAACCACAAGACCTGAATTGCCAAAATAATCCTGAGAAAAAAAGAACAAGCTGGAGGTATAACCCTCCCAGTCTTCAGATTATACTACAAAGTTACAGTAGTCAAAACAGTGTGACACTGGCACAAAACCAGAACATAGATCAATGGAACAGAATAGAGAGCCCAGAAATAAACCCGCACACTACAGTCAATCTACGACAAAGGAGGCAAGAATATATAGTGGAGAAAAGACAGTCTCTTCAACAAGTGGTGTTGGGAGAGCTGGACATCTACATGGGAAAGAATGAAATTAGAACATTTCTCACACCATATACAGAAATAAACTCTAACTGGATTAAAGACCTAAATGTAAGACATGAAACCATAAAACTAGAAGAAAACACAGGCAAAACACTGACATAAATCACAGCAATATTTTCTTGGTTCACTCTCCCAAGGCAAAAGAAATAAAAGCAAAAATAAACAAATGGGACCTAGTTAAACTTAAAAGCTTTTGTACAGCAGAGGAAATCATCAACAAAACCAAAAGACAATCTATGGAATGGGAGAAAATATTTGCAAACAATGCGACCAACAAGGAGTTAATTCTCAAAATATGCAAACAGCTCATATAACTCAATAGCAAAAAGCCAAACAATCCAGTCAAAAAATGGGTAGAAGAGTTGAATAGACATTTTTCCAAAGACACACAGATGGCTAGCAGGCACATGAAAAGATGCTTAACATAGTTAACTTTACAGAAATGCAAATCAAAACCACAATGAGGTATCACGACACATCTGTCAGAATGGTTATCATCAAAAAGTCTACAAGTAACAAATGTTAGAGAGGATATGGAGAAATGGGAACCCTCCTACACTGTTGGTGGGAATGTAAATCGGAGCAGCCACTGTGGAAAACAGTATGGAAGTTCCCTAAAAAAGTAAAAATATAACTACCATATTACCCAGCAATTCCACTCCTGTGTATCTATCCAGAAAAAATGAAAACACTAATTTGAAAGATACATGCACCCCAATGTTCATAGCAGCACTATTTACAATAGCCAGGACAGGGAAGCAACTTAAGTGCCCATCAATAGATGAATGGATAAAGAGGATGTGGTATATTTATACAATGGAATATTACTGAGCCATAAGAAAGAATGAAATACTGCCATTTGCAGCAACTTGGGTGGACCTAGAGAATATTATGCTTAGTGAAGTAAGTCAGACAGAGATAGACAAATACTGTTATATCACTCATATGTGAATCTAAAATACTAAGACAAATGAATGTATATACAAAACAAAAACAGACTCACAGAAATAGAAAACAAACCAGTGGCTACCAGTGGGGGGAGGGGCAAATTTACTAGTTTGTAATTGTAATAACCTATCATGGAATATAATCTGCCAAAATACTGAATCACTATGCTGTACACCTGAGATTAACATGACATTGTAAATCAACTACATTTCAATTTTTTTCAAAAAGGCAAACCAATTTCGTGGACACCGTCATGCTCATAAATTTGGCAAAAATTTAAGTCTGACTTTCTTTTTTAATAAAGAAAATGCCAAACGTACTTTGAATGCACCTTCTGATTCCATGGATAAAAGATCCCCGTCGAATGGGATGAGATCCAGGCTGTACTCCTCTCTATGAATGAAGGATCCCAAAACACCCAGATCCTTCAACCGCTGTTCGCACAGCAAGCTACGTCGTGGCACAAACAAAATATGGAAATCTCTTGCTGGGCCACGTCTGTCTTCACTGCAAAAGAAGTAACATTTGTGAGCTTATGAGCTCCTTAGTGTCACAGACGATTTCACTTACTCTATTCCCACTGCCTGGTACACAGTTGGCACTAAATAAATGCTGGTTAGATAAACATATGAATAGTGACTTTCAGACCCAAACTGCTACCGTTGCCTTCTCACTTTCTCTTTACCCACCCGTCTATCCCCTACAGGAAAGCAGCATTGATTCAGAGCCTGCATTTCTGATGCATTTTCCAGCTTTCTCTTATTTATGGGGCATTAAAGCTCTCAGATTTACTGAAACAGGATTATCTGTGTCTTATTGAAAACAAATGGTTCTTTGACCAAACCAATACAGTAATAGAGTCTCATATTAAAATGAAAGATCATCCCTGACTCCTACTTCTATTCTCCTTGACAGTGGACTTCTCAAAATAGCTCATATGCTTTTATGATTTCAGGGCCCACATCAATCGATTGTACCACAGAGTGCAGACTGGGCTGGGAGAGCTTCCTCTCTAGACTGGATGCTTTATTAAATTTTAATCGGCTCTTACTTACTTTGCTTATGAAATTCAAGCACACTATGTTCAGTATATTGAAAAATAACCATTAGCGGTTTTGTTTTTTAAATCAGAGTCCTTTCTACTGATACAGGTCCACACTTTCAGCTGTCCTGAAAGAACGGAGTTATATCACGATCACGCTCTCAAACTGAACGTCCCAAGATACCCATTCCGTCTTGTATTCTTTTGTGCCTTTCCTAGTCATCTGAAAGACCACTTTCCAGTGCATTGGCAAGAGACAGGGTTTGCAATGAAAAGCTCAGGACATTAAAACCATTAGAAGGACCAACCTCTTTTGGCCCAAATATAAGCTCTAAGAGATACCTGAGCACATTTTCAGCAATTATATCCATCAATTCTAGCCTGGGTCGGACAAAAAAAATTATATTCTTGACATCAGCTGCTGGCAAACGACTTCCTTTAAGCGTGAACATTTTTTCCACTTCATGTTCCTAGGAAAATACACAAAAGATTAACAAAACCCCTGACATTTACATATCATATCCAGACTCAAGACATCATAAACACTCCCAGCAAATGCACATCAATACTTGTTAATAAAATTTAGATTTCCCAAAACAAGCTGTATAAAGGACAAGGTTGCAGGACGAGGTCACTCCTATTGTATCTGAGTTTAAATGACTCCCACAGATGAACTATCAAAGACACCAGGTGACAATTACCTAATACAATGCTAGTAATTAGGATCAGTATAGCATCACTGGCCAAGGGACCACTGTATACAAAATGTTAGTCAGGCATTAGCATCAGTGTTTATAAAGACCAAACAAACTTGCAAACCAAGTTACTCAGGAGGAAATATACAACCTTATTATTATTGTTAAAGTACAGACTTAATCTCTCAACAATCCCCAGGTAGCTCATTTACCTTCAGTAGTGAATACTGTGCAATCAAGCCAAACGGTCCTGTGAGGTACTCATCCCAAACTATTGCCTATAAGAGGGGAGAAACATTCTCTTACTACAATTAATATCAAGAATTTCAACAACATCAACAGAAAATAGTAGTCATATGTAGTACAAATGTGGGTCTCAAACACTGAATTAACAAAAATTATAATTGGACCTGAGCACATTCATATCCTACAGGTCTAAAAAAGTAGCATCAGGGCAAGTGATGCTACTGTTGGTCATGAGAAAGTTAAGACTTAATCACTGTCCTCAAGAGAAAGAAGGAACTGTAGTTTGTTATGTATCTGTGTCACGGTATTGATGACTAGACTGAACCGTATGGAAACAGCCAGTTGCAACGGTTTGATCTAGTATTTTATATATAAGCATCATATAATCCAATTATAAAAATTAAAACCTCTGATACAGGTATTACAAATACCTTTTTAAATTGAAGTTTAGTTGATTTACAATGTTGTGTTAGTTTCTGGTGTACAGCATTGTAATTCAGTTATACATATATATTCTTTCTCATTATAGGTTATTACAAGACATTGAATCCAGTTCCCTATGCATAGCATACGGGACCTTGGAGATATATATATATATATATATATATAGAATAAGGGAGTCAGGACTTTTTGATCCCAAAAGCCATTGCTCTGGGATCAATGAGCATTTCTACTGCTAAACTCCTGTGTCATTTGTCTCTTCCTTTTCACTTAAAAATTTTATTAAGATAACTGAAGATTAATATTCAGTTGTAAAAAACAATACAGACAGATCCCTTGTATACGTTGCCCAGTTTCCCCCAATGGTAACGTTTTGCAAAACTATAGTTCAATAGGTATTACCACCAAGATACTGACACTGATACAATCCATGATCTTATTCAGATTTCAGCACCATTTCCTGAGCTTGAATAGCTGCTAGCACCCACTCTACCCCTTGGGATCCTATTCTTTCTACGACTGATTCCTCAGTTTCCCCAGTTCTCCTTTTCTCTTCAGAGTTGTGCTGCAAGTTACTTAAAGGGACTGATAAATCCTAAGCGGAGAGGGGAGAGGTAATACCACTTAAAAGAAATTCTATAAACTCCTTGATCTACGGTTTCTGATTCCATTATGAGGTGGGTGCTAATAAACGTCTAACAGGAGAAACAATTCTGTTTTTGGAAGGTCACGTTAAAACCTCAAATAGCTACCACTTCTCCCACCATCCGTGTGAGCAGCAGGTTGTAAGGTGTTGGTGCTTCAGACTTTCTTAGGTATGATGTGTAAATACACGTGGATCGCTGCAATGAATGGACACTGGACCATCTACGTTCTTGGGCCGGGCCCGCCGCACCAGTACCAGTGTTTGCGGGGAGGTGGACAGCGGATCGGCCCCTCTGGACCTGAAAAGCACCTGACGCAAACTGGTTCGCGAGGGGCTGAGACAGCACGGTGGCCGACTCTGGGCTGGATGCCCCTCTCCCCCAGTCACCGTCACCGCCAGCTTGCCTCCCTGGAAGCCCCGGCGGACCTCCTACACCTGGAGCTCAGGCGGTCAGGGGCGGGATTAGGCCAGGCCGCACCGCCCCAGAGGGCGCAGCACACTGTCCCTCACCTTGCTTCCCGCGCACTTGTCCAGGAACTCGCGCAGCTCGCGACGCACCGCCTCGCGCAGCACGTTCAGGTTCACTCGCCCGTAGGACAGGTGCGCCGCCATCTTGCTCCCCCGCCCCCGCCCTCGCCCTCGCCCCCCTGCAGGCCAACCCGGTCGGCTTCCGCTTAAGCCCCGCCGACGGACGCCGTCACGTGACGGCGCGTCCACGTGACCCGGGCCGCTGACGGCCCGCCAAACCCGGAAGCGGCCTCGACCGACGTCGGCAGGTCTTTTCCGGCCCTAGCGCCCGCCTCCGTTCCACCACGTGGATCCTGAAGAAGCTCCCCGAGACCAACCGCCCCGCCCAGACCCCGCCTCAGTCCAGGAGTCGTTGGGCGCTGAGAACGGAGTTTAAGGACGGAGACTGGAGCCTCCTGGTCCCGTTTAAAACTCACGACTTTCTTCTTACCAGCAGGCATACTCGCTGTAAAATGGTAACTTGAAACTAAACTTGAATGGAAATCTTAAATTATAGCGACCGAAAAGTCCTGCGTTCTGCTCTTTTGGTTTGTCAACTAAAATCTACAAAAGTGGCTAGGGGCTGAGGGACGGACCCTTGAGTGACTTGTCTGTTTAGCGCTTCTAGGAGACTGAGGCGACATGGTATTTCACACAAGTTCTTTCCGACGTGGGATACAAGTAAAATGTTACCTCGTGAGTTGCGAGGATAAAAGATGTCATTTACATCGTGTGACTTATGTAAAAGGCTTAATATTTAATAATTTGCTCAATAAATAACATTAGCAAGATATGTGGGTTTCAGTACTTTGAGGTGGAAATGGCTATTTGGGACCAGGTGAAAGAGGCTTTAAAATGTTTGGTCTTCAAGTGCCTGGCTCCCTTCAATCCTTGTCCTTTGTGAAGAAGGGACTTGGTAAGCAATTACCCTGGAGTGTGTGTAAGCAAAGAGCGGGATTTGGAGATGAAGCAGTAACCAATCACATATACATACTTGGATTCTTAATTTCATGGCTCTATTAGACATTTAGATTTTAAAGTAACACCTTTCCACACATGCTGACTGTTCCATGCCCTAGTTCTCAACTCGATTTTCACTGTGGTTCTCAGCGTGTATCACAAACTCTTCTCACATGTGCAGTTTCTTTGCTCAACTGAGAATATTTTAGCACCATCTGCGAGAATAAATGTTGAGCTCAGCAAGCCTCATCATGGACTGTTAAGCGAGGGCGCAACTATGTAAGAAGTAAAATTGCCCACAGTCAGTAAAATCTCAAGCGTGCATGGGTGCAAATAAGCAAGGCTAGGATAATAAAGGATCCTCCTCAAACAGGATCAGGATGCTGGATGATCAACAGAGGTGTTTTATTTGTGTAGAGATTCAATGTTTGGAGACATTGCTATACTACTGAGTTGCCCTATAAATATCACAGACTTGTTTAGTGTTAGTTTGAGGCTTTTTTTCTTCTTTTCAAAATGTACTTTTTGTTGAGATATAACTGATATATAACATTTTATTAGTTTGAGGTGTACAATGATGACTTGATATATGTGTATATCGTGAAATGATTACCATAGTAAGTGTACTTACTAGTTCAAGGCTTTTCCAGTCTCTTCAGCAAATGCTGTTGGAAAAACTAGACAGCTGCATGTAAATAAGTTAGAATACCCCATCACACCATACAGAGAAATAAACTCAAAATGGCTTAAAGACTTAAACATAAGGCAAGACACTATAAACCTCTCAGAAGAAAACATAGGCAAAACATTCTCTGACATAAATCTTAGCAATGTTCTCCTAGGGCAGTCTACCCAGGCAATATAGAAATAAAAGCAAAAATTAACAAATGGGGCCTAATTAAACTTATAACCTATTGCACAGCAAAGGAAACCATAAGCAAAACAAAATGACAACCTACGGAATGGGAGAAAATATTTGCAAAACATGAGACTGATGAGGGCTTAATTTCCAGAAAATATAAACAGCTCGTACAACTTAATAACAAAAACAAACAACCCAATCCAAAAATGGGCAGAAGACCTAACAAGCAATTCTCCAAAGAAGACATACAAATGGCCAAAAGGCACGTGAAAAAAATGCTCAATATCACTAATTATCAGAGAAATTCAAATCAAAACTACAGTGAGGTATCACCTCAAACCAGTCAGAATGGCCATCATTCAAAAGTCCACAAATGATAAATGCTGGAGAGGGTGTGGAAAAAGGGGAACCCTCCAACAGTGCTGGTGGAAATGTAGTTTGGTGCAGCCATTATGGAAGACAGTATGGAGATTCCTCAAAAGACTAAAAATAGACTTACCATATGATCCAGCAATCCCATTCCTGGGCATATATCCAGAGGGAACCTTAATTCAAAGATACATGTGCCCCAATGTTCATAGCAGCACTATTTACAATAGCCAAGACATGGAAGCAACCAAAATGTCCATCAACAGATGATTGGATAAAGAAGCTGTGGTATATTTATACAATGGAATACTATTTAGCTATAAAAAAGAATAAAATAATGCCATTTGCAGCAGCATGAATGGACCTGGAGATTGTCATTCTAACTGAAATAAGCCAGAAAGAGGAAAAAAAATACTATATGATATCACTTATATGTGAAATCTAAAAAAAAAAAAAAGACAAACTTATTTACAAAACAGAACAGACTCACATAGAAAACAAACTTATGGTTACTGGACGGGGAGTGGGAAGGGAAAAATTGGGAGTTCAAGATTTGCAGATACTAATATATATAAAATAAACAAGTTCATACTGTATAGCACAGGGAACTATATTCAATATCTTGTAGTAACTTATGGTGAAAAAGAGTATGAAAATGAATATATGTATGCTCATGTATGACTGAAGCATTATGCTGTGCACCAGAAACTGACACATTGTAAACTGACTATACTTCAATTAAAAAAAATGTATATATACACACACACACAAAAAATAATGAGTCTTTTCATCAATTTGGTTGATTCTGAAGTCAAGGATTACTGTAAGTGTATTTTTTAGGTAAAAGTAATGTTCAACTAGTAAATGTGTTTTGGAAATATCTTCCTGTGGGGGAGTCAGAGCTCATGAAACAGATGCTCGGTTGTCATCATTTTGGTAAACATGATAGCTTTCAGTTTCTTTCCCAAACTTCTTAATGCATTAATAGTTTGTACTACATGGTGCCATTTACATTTGTCAGGTAATATAGTAATGGGGGTATTTATTCTATGCTAAGTGGGTCATAGAATGCTTTGAGATAATTTCTTAAAAGCTGTTTATCAACAAGACTGCAGTAGAAATTGCTATTTGGATCTGTAGTGCTTGCTCATTTGCAGAAAAACCATTATGACAAATAAACCTGAGAATAATTCCAGTTTACTACTACTGGCAAAAAAGAATAACCGTTTATTAAAGTAGATACAGAACACTTGTTTGCTCAAATTTTAATACTGCTTTACATACTGTGTTTGTGAAACAGTTCCTATTATGTTTATAACCAAAAATTTCAACTGATTACAGATTTGTCACTTGTCAAACACATAGCTGATAATCTTGAGGGGAAAATACATCAAAGGCATATATACAATTATAGAAGTTTCTTATTATACATGTCACATGGAAGATACATTTATTTATTCCTTTTTACATATTCTAGAAGACATTCAAATGAAGATAAATAGATTCAAAGTGGTTGATAAACTTCTGATGGTTGAGGTCCTTCATTTTTTTTTTGTGATAAGAAAATCCAAAATTATTAATGTTGAATTTCTCATCGTACATTCATCTAAAAACACAGTAAAAAAAAAAACTTGTTGAGTTTGTAGATCGGCTAATTTAGGTGTTTCATAGTGGCTTATTATCCAGTTAATTGACTGCTGGGGATATCCATTGGAGAACGAAAAAAAAATCTGGAGAAAATTCTCCCAGTTACTCCTATCTGATAAACAAAATGAAAACAAGAAGGAGCTGCAAAGCCACATGGTGCTATTTCTGGCCTAGTCTGTTATGTCCTGATGAACATTTTAAGTGTTTTCTTTTTCATAAAGGTAAATACCTGAAAAGACAGACACACTGTGTATGTTTCTTTCCAAAATATAGATTTTTAAAAAATATATACATATAGTATTATAGAAGCTGAAATTATGCAAAACCAATAAACAAAACACCACAGTAGAGTAAGTGGGTGCAGCATAGAGATTATAAAATGTCCCCACAGCAGCCTGGGGGCTCCCCCCGCTTTACCTGTTTCATGATTTTATAATCACACCTAAGTATTATCAAGCCTGAAATAAAGGCACTACTGACTTCAGGTAGTGCAAAGAGCTCAGCTATTTCTTTGATTAAGAATAAAATACTTTAAATGAATAGATGAAAATGCAAAATGGCACATTTTTTTCAACTCATTCCAGTGTCAAAGCTTAACCAAAACATCTAAATATACAAATGCAGCCTGCAAATATTTTAGTGCAAATGTGAAAAGTAATGGCATAATTTAAAATTACTTAAATAAGGTATTGTAAGGGTAGGAATTGTTCTCTAAGAGGTCTCCCTAGGGACAACAAACGTAATGGCCTCTGGTGCAACGTCTTGTTAAAACTTTCAAAAATCAAGAAGACAAAATTAGAGGTGAAAACTCACCCAAGTATTTATTATTCTAACTTATAAACTTAGAAGGGGAGGCTAAAAGGGCGATTTGTTGAAGATCAAAATATTTCCTTAGATTTGTCGATGGGGGTCAAAAATAACGTGAGTTCTCCCGAAGTCTGCACACACGATGCTGGTGGTCAGTTGCCGACATGCTAGCGTGTCTGAGGAAGCCCGGGCCTCGCCGGAGGCTTCATCAGAAGGTCTCGTCATCATTGCAGTTGGTGGCCCAGTGCCCGAACATCTCGCAGATTTCACAGTAGGGGCGCTCCTCGCTCCGACTGCCGTGGTGTGTGGAGTGGGGGGGGTCCTCGGACATCTGTGTCTGGGTAGGACAATCCTCTGTGTCGTGGAGATCAAAGCAGTCACATATGTCACAGAAGAGGCGAGGTTTCTTCTTGGACTGTTTCTCCTGATCATCACTACAAACATTAATGTGTATAGTCAGAAACTCATTTCATCAGAAGAAATTTAAGCGACAGTATCACTTGTAATGAATAAAAAATAAGGAGGAAGAAGTGGTAGAGCACGTGCTTA